ATAAAGTTAAAGTTGATTTAAATATTGATAACTCACAGCGGCATTAATCCATTAGGCCTATACAAGTCTAAAAAAGCTGGATTATTCTAGTTCAATAAAGCCCTCAATGGACAATGCCAATGTCAATAAAAGGTCTAATATTATACACGTTGCAAATTACTGCACACACAAAATATGAAATAATTCATATAAAGTACAATACCGGCAGTGTCTGATGCATATATCGTCCCAGATATTCAAGTTGTACCGCACGCACGGAAACGCACGGAGGAGTCTTGGCGTTTGTGTGATAACAGAATGCTAGCTACACTTCGACATTATCTTTCTTGATCGTTGAGTTTCAGCAATGTAAATGCAATGATTTTTATAGCCAGTCCATAACGGGTTTTAATCCTGTGCTTTTACAGTCAAAATAGCACTATTGTTTACACATGTTGGCAATATTTGGGAAATCAAAGGATTCCGTTATAAAATAAATCTTTTGTTTTGAATATCCGACAGGATACACTTCAACTATAAAGAACCATATCGTTCGTTTAATACCGTTTGATCGATCATTCTTTGTAGAAGATATGTATGTTTCTACGGCGATACGTGCTAAACTTCGCAAGCCAGGCGCGTGTGGAGTGCTTTCCTTGCAAGTGAAATATGATCCAGCTTCTCGTTTGGAAATATGTACCGCAACACTTATTATTGATGACATTCAGTACAGCAGGAAGTCTTGTCATGATCGGTACAATTTAACACAGTTCCTTTCACAATCTCTAGTTGCAAATTACATTTTTATTACCCGAAATTATAACCCATGAAGTTGCAATTTTCCAAACGCAACAAACAGACTCCTCTACTACCCCTCCCTGAGGTCAAATTCAGTTTACCCCAAAAATCTGGGGGTTCACGTGACCAGCTCCGACCATGGTGTTTGCTTCCCAAGAGGAAAGAGGCTGGGAACGAGGTTGGCAGTAACCCCTCGCCAATATTTTCCAAACATTAAATTAACATGAAGTATTCACAAATGGCCGACACTGAACGCAGGCTCTCGCTCAAGTGTTGCCATAACAACACGATATCTTAAATTTTTAATTTTTTCATATTTTTGTACAAAACCATAGGCAGCCCAATGTTATGGTTGCCTGCCTGCACGCAGGCGAGGCATTGTATAGTTGTATTATTTCCTAAGGTAGGCAAATTCAATCAAACTAACGATACATATACTTTCAAACAATCCAAAATACTTCAAATATCTGTACATCTACGCTAAACTAATCACGGAAATAAAATCTACGATACTTTTACTATATACTAACAATATTTTAACGTACAAAACAAATTTGTAATGCGAGAAAAATACGAAACGTTTTTGCATTTTTTTTCAATTCTTGAATGAGACGATGCTGGATTCGCGCTCGACGTTTTTTATGGCGTTTCAAATGACGAATTTCTAATCTCATTGGCTGTCTTTTTCTACGTTTTAAAACCGTAAAAATGACAGCCAATGAGATTAGAAATTCGTCATTTGAAACGCCATCAAAAACGTCGAGCGCGAATCCAGCATCGTCTCATTCAAGAATTGAAAAAAAATGCAAAAACTTTTCGTATTTTTCTCGCATTACAAACTTGTTTTGTACGTTAAAATATTGTTAGTATATAGTAAAAGTATCGTAGATTTTATTTCCGTGATTAGTTTAGCGTAGATGTAAAGATATTTGAAGTATTTTGGATTGTTTGAAAGTATATGTATCGTTAGTTTGATTGAATTTGCCTACCTTAGGAAATAATACAACTATACGATGCCTCGCCCGCGCGCAGGCAGGCAACCATAACATTGGGCTGCCTATGGAATATCCATAAATGTTCACAAATATCCTCCAAACCACCAGTTAGTGGTTGAATCTGGAGTTGCAGTACAGCGGAAGTTGGTGTTGAAGAAATCATAATATCCAAAGTTATCTTCACTAGGCACGGACCCTGCGGTTGGTACGAACTCACAACTGGAAATTGAACTATCCATGGCAGGATGTGCATTTATGTGCCACCACATAGCTGTACATTGAGCACATTGATGACCACGAATATTGACGAGTTCCATCTTTTTACACACCCCAGATCCAGTGAACGCCATGATATCAAAATCTACAAAGTTGGCTCTTGCGTAATCTCTATAGTCAACACCATGGGTAGGGAGACTGCACGTTACTCTCCAGTGAGTGGAATGTGGTTTGAGAGCGTTCATCTGTGATAACGACATTCTGTAGATGTTCCAGTTGGGTGTTTTTTCATTAATTGGTGAGTTTGCCGATAATTGATGATTTCGCAACGCAGTTGTTCCTTTGTTCTTCAGGGAAAATGATTCAATTAGGGTCCAGGCAGCTCCCGGTTCGGATTCCATGTCACAGTAAACGTTGGTTAAACAATCATTGGTACAATCGTAGATTTTGTAATGTCCGCTTGTTTTGACGCCTTTTCTGAGTAGGTCCAGGCAACTGCGTGCTGGCATGGTATCCGGTCTGAGATCTTTAGATGCTCCGCAACTCTGGAAAACATTTAATTGTAAAATAATAAACGTTATGATATCTGCGATCGATGCTTTCATGAACAGCTGTACATGCCCTTTACAAACTGAAAAGTGCATGGCCCTTTTTGGAGAAAAGCAAAGGAAAAGTGCTATTCAGAATTCTAAAATAACAATGCCCTTCAGGTGTGGTGGTGTAAAGAGCCTTCGCTCGAAAAGTCAAATTTCAGATAGTTGCATCACACAAGTGTGCGATATGGCGATACACTACATGTGGTCCTCGATCTTAGGAGTTACTCATGCTGACGAATTTAATTTCAGAAAGTTCAGACATGAAATCGAACTCAAACTATCTGGGTTAATCTCCCAGTGCGCTTCAATAGTTCATAATCATTCGGAATACTTTTTAGCAAGCAATTCGGATTCACTGGAACACCGCAGCGGATTATTCCCGCATTTTTCTTTCAGTGAGGACATTACAAAACGCGTGCTATGCTAGATAACAGTTTCTAACCTTTATCTCTAATTATAGACTTTTGACTTTATTTCTACTATAACAGTATCTGCTAATCTGCAGGATCTGGATTTTACAACGAGATCAAGGCACAGTAGCTATGTATACTGAAACATAATCTTGAACGGTTTGTGCCAGTGTAGGTATAGTGGCAATAATAAGAAAGCTTCAGAACTTCGACGTTTCGAGTTGGCGAAGTTAGTACTGTAACTTCCCAACGAAAAGCCGCCGCTCAAAAAGTTGACGTTCTTCTTGTATTTTTCAGTTAGTTGTATCGCCCTATCAATTTGAAGCTTTCTTATACACTGAAACAGTATTTTTGAGACCTCCAGAAACTGTTCCACCTACGGAATGAGCGATTGGACGTATGAAGCATACAGGAAACATTATAAATTATTTTATTGGAATGAAAGGCTTCTAATACTGTTAATCATAATTTATAAGGTCATAATTTTATTATAATTATAAATTACAAATTACAAATCTTCCATATGTAACATAACATAACTTACAAAACATTACAAGCCGTATATAGTGGTGATGAAATCCAAAAATGGAAACTAAAAAGCTTATTTTGAATTTAGATTCCCTCATGGTATAATTATATTTACGATATTTTAATTAAATAGATGAAAAAATAAAGATATTATGTGCATATATATATTTAGAACATTCACTATCAATCAAAACAGTCAAGTCTAAAAGATCAAGATAAACATTTTTATTTTTATGCATGACTAGATTGAAGAAATGACAACAATTTGGATTTAAAATTGCTTGAAGAAGATGCAGTTGTAATTTCAACCGGGAGAGAATTAAAAAAATTAGGGCTTTGAAATCGAACTGAAAATTGTTTTAATCTTGTTCTACAAAATGGTATTCTGAGACTTTTGGCACTCCTTAAGCTTCTTTTAAGGCCGAACATTTGTTCATTATAGATACAAACATACCTTTAAAATTGTCCGGAAGAGTATTGTCTTCAGTCCATGAAAAAACAAATTGACCCAACTGAAGTTTACAAATGTCATGGAATTTTAACAGTTTGATTTCTTTAAAGAAGGGATCGGCATGAGAATCAAACTTACCTTTACTTAGTATTCTAACAATCCGTTTTTGCAGAATAACAATGCGATTAAGATTTGATGGGTAGGTTGAAGCCCAAACAATGTTACAATATTGAAGATAGGGATAAACCAGTGCATAATATAACATTTTTAATGATGATTTAAGAAGGTAGAAGCTAGTTCTGAAAATAATTCCGATAGATTTGTCGATCTTACTTGATATATGGGAAATATGAGATTTCCAGGAAAGGTTTTCATCTAGTATAACTCCCAGAAATGAAGTTTCTTGGACTTGATTTATTTGTTGATTATCAATAAATAACTCAGCAGTCATATTTTGGCGCTTTTGTCTAGGTTTAAATAACATGTATTTTGTCAGTTTTTACCAAATAGCCAATTGTAAGTTGAAATGTTTTAAGTCTTCAAAATATCGAGGTTATAAAGCTCATAACTGTACGAGGTTGGGAAATATGCCGGAAAATGATTTCAATTAAAGCTCGGCCGACTCAAAATAAGACACTATATCATGTATTTTATTCAAAGTTTAGTTGTAGTTGGAATGTTAAAATGAAAATATGAAAATAAAAATATGAATCAAGATATGAAAATAAAAATATGAAAATGATTTCAATGAAAGCCCGGCTCAAATGAGCACGAGAGTGCATGAAAGTTGGCACCACTTGGCAGTCACGCAATCTTGTCAATGATTAGATGTTCTTAATAATGCATGTATATATACTTTCCCAACATTATCATGTATTTTATTCAAAGTTAAATCGTAGTTGAAGCATTCATCACTAAACTTTTATTTTGTTAACCACAGAAGCTATAAATGTCCCCATGCAGTAACAATTCCTTACTGCCAACTCTCGTTTACTCGTATATTCGTTTGACCGTGGCTTAATCTTGTGCATACTCGAAAAATAGACTGTGAATCTTGAATTAATTGCAGTTCATTCCCCTTCCTACAATCCTACTGTAAAGGCCTTGACTTCAAACCAGTTCAATCAAACAATATAGGATGCAACACGCTGGGGGTCTGTTTAAAATAAATATTCATGCAACATTGTCTAACATGCAACTGGTCAGTTGGGCCTTGTTAAAGTATACATTGACAGGTGATATATTTTGGCGCAAGTATACTAAATTATTTCAGTTGGATCAGTTTGAAAGCTGCGACTTTTCAAGCGAAGGGCGTCGGGAACTGTTAGCAGCTTTTTTATTATTGGTACTACAATACCTACACTGACACCGCACAGTCCGTTCATGATTATATCAAAAACACTGTTGCAGTTTCACCATGCAACTGACATATCGCAATCATGCACATGCAGCAATTGAAAATCATTACCTGGCCCGTTGTCGGAGATGATGGAGTTGTAGAAGTAACTGAGACAACAAATGATCCTCCAGAAATCACGGAAAAGCAGAGAATGAGAGAAAATCTGAACATTGTTGAAATTTTTCTTGAGTTTCCCACTAGTACAGACAGTGTTGATCACTCAATAAATGGCGAGGTCTGTGTTGCTCTGTTTAGCGAGTTCTAGATGTGTTCCACGAGCACTGCAGCTACTGCCTTTTATTTGTTTTTGGCCAGAAATAACGCTCATTGATATGTATATATCATCACCCTTTAGGATGAATTTGTTCCACAGTATGAATTATAATAATCTGTCTAACTGTCAGATTTGTTTTAGATATCCCACACAAGAACACTAATTACTATATCACTGACGCGCACTTCATTGGGAAGGGATTTTTTCCTCCAACATAAACTTTGAACTTTCCAAACATATCATGACCAAAACTTCTACTAAGTTAGTTCGTCTAATCAGCAACAAGCCGGGCTTTTGCTAGAGATTGAATGGAAATATTTCCCCGATGTTCGTGAAATGCCCGACCTAAAAAAAACCCTTTTTATTATATATTTCCTATGTTTAACATTTTCAAATCATTTTTAAGTATACAAACTGCCTGACCAGCCCCCCTCCATCGCTTCCCCCCTCTTACGTCTATGAATGGAGACTGAAGGTAAGCATGCAGGATTGCATGAGTAACAAGGGCATTATTAAAACTGTACTGCAATCTGCAGCACGCCATTTCCTGCATTCTGGGAGCAATTTTAACAAAAAATCAGTAATGATAAACAGTGACACAATGATTATAATTTCATAGTGTGTGTCTCAATTGTATACTATACAAGTATCCAATCACTAAGTATTCAAGTACTTTTGGAGTTTTGGTCCACATGATCAGGTGATGATAATAAAAGATGTGCATGTTTGCCGTTGCAATATTTAGGATGCTAATTCGTACTTCTATACGTTCATCAGAAATTAAATAAATTTCATTCAGGATCTGTTTTCTCTAAACTTGAAGTCTTCCTGTTTTTAATTTTTTCCACAAAATATCTTGCCGAGTTGACTCATTGCTAGTTACGGGCCCGCGTAATGCCACAAGTGTGACATTCTATAAGGCCGCATGTTAGTAATGTCACAGTTGCAATTTTTATGCAACTCACTTGCTTGTATACACTACTATAATACATGCAATGGCTAAAATCGCTAAAATTATTGCACCAAGTAGAAATGGGTTCTACCGTTTGGCAATGCCAATGCATGGTTGCAGAGATTAAAAGAAGCGTGACGTATATTAATAAAAATTACGGGAACCACTGAGTATTTTAATAAAATATAAAACAACGGTAACTCCGAAAATAAACATTTTAATAATATATGACTGAATCTTAGTCGAAAGCTAGAATATTATTAAAATGTTTATTTTCGGAGTTACCGTTGTTTTATATTGTATATTAATAAACTGATCGAAAAAAGAGGAAATGTGTACCGGTTTGCGGAAATGTTTTAACTTAGTTATGACTTATGTTTCAAAATATTTTTGGATTTGTAGGGCAATTTTTATCAACGTCGGGTAAATTTTGTCCCCCCCCCCCCACCCATCCCCCCTATGTTTTTCCTCCCATAGTGAAGCCCATGCTGAAACATCGCCGAATACTGTACGAGTATATAGGCAATTCTGACTATAAAGTTTCCCAATGGCAATGTCAAAACAATTAGTGTGCTAAATTAAATTAAATTAAAATTAAATTAAAGATTAGCGAAAATCCACAGCCATTTGCTGTGGAAATTTGTAATCATATTTTCGCTTAATCTTGTTTAGGATTAAGTATAATCCAGAATTTTACTGCCGAGTGAACAAACTCATCCCAAACTGATGGGAAACAATTTAAACAATCCATATACTTAGTTTGTTACTGATATTTACTAAGACAGAGTCTAAGTATACTATTTATAATTATAAAACTCATTAATAATTCATAAGGAAAATACAAAAGAAATGAATGTTTAATCAATGTTTGTAAATCGGATAGAGATTTTGTCCTGATTTACATAAACCTCGACATAAACTTCAGCTTTGATTTTCTCGGCTTAAACAATATTTATTTTTAGAATTACTTCGCCAATAAACTCATTAAGCCCGGCGCACATTGGAGATATCAGCTGAGCTGAGCGTCACTCGTGACTGTTGGCGTAAGCAAGTTTCCCCACCAGGTGATCTCGTGTTCGTATTTTAGCCAATCAGCGCTCAGAAAGGGTTGTCCGAATAGAAATCCATTTTGATGTATTCAATCAATTATATCTTTCATTATTCTTTATGAAACTAGTTGAAAATTTGTAATTATGTTTGGTTATGAGAACTATAGCTCTGACAACAATATGGAATCGAAATAAAGTATAAACGATCCTTTTGCATGGTCGGCCTTTAAAAATTTCAGGCGAGAAGTAAAGCGACGTATAAGATTTTCGGAGAGAGAATATGTAAGAGAACAGATTAAAAGTAACAGAAACAACACCAACTCCATATGGAAATCTATAGGATCGTGTATACCGAAAAAATCAGCCACTCATAAAGTCTATAGTAAGGATCATAAAACTGTTGCTGATGAATTTAATGAATTCTTTGCCAGTATTGGTCAAAATACGGTTAAAAAAATTGAAAAAATGGCCGCTGATAAAAATTATGACCTAAATGAAAACCCTTTTAAACCAAGACATTATTTACCATCTGAACAATTTTCAGTGAACGTGAAGAAGTTGAACGTGAAGAAGTTGAATCTATTGTTATGTCTATGGCACCAAACAAAGCTCCTGGGAACGATAAAGTTCCGACACATGTAATCAAAACTTGCTTGACTGTAATTTCACCTACCATTACTTCAATTATCAATGCTTCACTATTAACCTCTAGTTTTCCGAGCGTATGGAAAAACGCTGAAGTTGTTCCTATCCACAAGAGTGATGATTATGAGATCGCAAATAATAATAGACCTATATCGTTATTGCCAGTGCTATCAAAGATCTGCGAACGAGCAGCTTATAATCAGTTTTCGACCTACCTTCTCTTGAATGATCGTTTATCGTCTAAACAAAGTGGAAACAAGCATCTACACTCAACAGAAACCTCGGTAATTCAGACTACAGACATGATCTTGAATGCCATTGACAAGAAACAGCTAACTGCGATTGTATTACTCGACATGAGCAAAGCATTCGATAGCATAGATACCACGACTCTGATTACTAAGTTAGAAGATGTTGGCGCGTCTTGTCAGGCGATTCAATGGTTCCAAAGCTACCTAACATCCAGGTATCAAGTAGTAAGAATACAAACAACCTTATCCGACCCTTTAGAGGTAAAGAGTGGAGTACATCAGGGAAGTATACTTGGGCCACTTCTGTTTAGTATTTATGTGAACGATTTGCCATCAGTTCCACAACAATGTTCTCCCTATTCCTATGTCGATGACACAAAACTCCTAATGTCGTTTTCTCTGCAACACCAACAAAGAGCTGTCTCAGAAATAAATCAAGATCTCTTGAGAATACGTAATTGGTGTTTTGATAACAAGTTACTGTTAAACCCAGGAAAAACTAAGGCCATGATATGCGGTAGCAGACAGATGAGAGCAAAACTTCCTAATTTTCGCCTCTCACTTCTCGGTAAAGAAATCATTGTAACAAGCGCCAAAGATCTCGGCGTAATCTTGGACTCTGGTATGACGTTCGACAGCC